ACACCAGAACTAAGAGAAAGGCATGGAATATCTTCTCCCTTTGAGCATCCAAGGATGAACCAACCTTGCTGACACCTTGATTTCGGACTTCCAGCCTCCTGAACTGTGAGAGAATAAATTTATCTTATTGTAAACCACCCACTTTGTGGTACTTTGTTACAGCAGCCCTAGGAAATGAATACACTCCCTTTTTTTTTTCTTAAGATTTTATTTATTTGTTAGAGAGGGAGAGACAGAGAGCAAGAGCACAAGCAAGGGGGGTGGCAGGCAGAAGGGGAAGTAGGCTCCTCGGCAAGCAAGGACCCTGGGATCATGCCTTGAGCCGAAGATAGGCACCTAACTAACTGAGCCACCCAGGCATCCCTACACTCCCTTTTTAATATAGCATTTCCAAACTAATTTGACCCTGGAAACCTTTCTTCTTATAATATCTATTGATATTTAGGAAACACAACTGGGGAAAATCTGGCCCAGGAAAAAGAAGCTGGAGGTCCATCCAGTTACAAAGGAGTAGATGTTAGCAGGAGGGTTTGTAGGTTGCATTGTCCCCCATTTTCCTACCTCTCATTCCTTCCTGAGGAGCCAGCTCTGACTAGACCAACTTTGCTTAGCCAAGAAAACAATCAAAATTCTAGTTTCCTTCTTGTTTTTACCATCATACTATGCAGGAAAGGGCTAAAGTTAGGGTCAGAAGCCTGTGACAATACCAAGCCATTCAGGGCTGGGGATAGCCACCCTCAAAATCTTCATCATCTCCCCAAATAAACAGATGGAATTTCAGTAGAAACACTGTGCTACTTTGCTAATATAACTTCAAGATAAAACCTCTAGCCCTGCCCTGTCTACCAGATTGCTACCCCTAAGCCTCTCCCTTCCCTTTAGAGACTCCTCAGCTAATGTAGGAAGAGGCTAATGTCTGGGTAGAAATGGTATTCCATGCACCCTAAATGCTAATAATTCATACCATGATACTAAATTGGCTTGGATTTCACTTACTGACACTTCTTTGTGGTAGATCCTGTTGTAGTTTGTAATTTTTTTCCCCCTCGGGTGCTCATATTCATTATTTCTAGGAAGTCCCCTGTGTCCTGAGGTGGCAAAGTGTTCCCAAAGAGATTTTGTTTTTTCTCAGGCCACAGAGGCTCAACAGTCTTTTTGAGCTTATTTCTCGGTTTGGGATCAATATTCTGATCGGGTAATTTATATCTAGACCCTGCATCCACATAGCACAGACTCGGGATTTATATTTCTCACAAGAAGACTTTTCTATGTTCATGTACCAGACCCCAGACCCATATACCCAATTACATCCCAAACAGTTCCACTTATGTGTGTCACAGCTTCCTCAAATTCAACTTTCCAAAATTGAGCTCCTCCATAAAGCCTATCCTTCTCCAGCATTCCTTATTTCAGTAAATAGTACCAGGCTGCCACGTATGGTGGTATAAGTAGTTCACTGCACAAGGGACAAAAGGAGGCTGAAATCTAGCTTGCACGCTGCTTACCAAGCAGTGCATCCACAGGATTGTGTCCACCAAGATGGCATCTTTCTCTAAGTGTATAAAGATACCACATGGGCTTGGGACGCCTGGGTGGCTCAGTCGTTAAGCGTCTGCCTTTGGCTCAGGTCATGATCCCAGGGTCCTGGGATCGAGCCCCACATCGGGCTCCCTGCTCAGCGGGAAGCCTGCTTGTCCTCTCCCACTCCCCCTGCTTGTGTTCCTTCTCTCGCTGTGTCTTTCTCTGTCAAATAAATAAATAAAATCTTAAAAAAAAAAAAAAAAGATGCCACAGGGGCTGGACACCACATGTCACCCTGGCAAGAGCACCACCATCCACCTTGTGGCCACTTGTCCTTTTCCCATGACTCCCCCCCTCCAATCGAATCCAAGTTATCTCAGCGTCTTGCACTTTTACCTCCTAGTTAGACCTCAAATCCATCTCCTTTGTGCCACTTCTGTAAGTTGCTAGATTTAGCAAATAAAAATACAGAACTCCCAGTTAAATTTGAATTTCAAATAAAAAACATAATTTTTAGTATAATTATGCCTCATGTGTCCATTCTGTCCTCCCTTTCTAAAAGGACCCCAATTTTTACTCCAACCCACACTGTAGCCAAAGAAAAGAACACATTTCTAACCAGATGACCAGAGCCATGTGCACACCATCACCACTGAAAACTGCCCCCACCTCGTTCCCCTATTTGGTGAAGACCAACACATTTCCTCATAAGACAAGTCTTTGGGATATTTGGCTTCTCGTTTGATATGAGGCTGGGTCACTCCATGCGCCTTAAGAAATGTTTACTTCTCACATATGTATTTCTTACAAAATCCGGGTTTGGGAGCCTCAGTGTTGGCTCCTCAAGTCAGTAAGGACCCCTCATTCCCACGGTAAGCTCACACCATAATCTTTCATAGAGTTCCCCAGCATTGGAAGGACACCAAATGGGCTCCCATGTCCTTTCCCAGAGCCCACTGGGAACCTGGCCAGTAGACCCCCTAAGAGGTGCACCATCCCACATCAAGCCCATTGCTCAGTTTCAGGTCAAGCATCACTCTGTCCTGATTTTCCAGCCTCTCAGTCACTGGCATAATCTAGAGGAGCTCCAGCTCTAACATACTCTGGCAAGTCAAATCCTATAAATAAGGCTTTTATCCACCCAGCTTTTGAGGGCCAAATGCCTAAGAGCAAAAGGAAACAGTCTAATCAAACTGGATACCTCATACTGGAAATGTAGACAATGAAAGGAGTTATACAGAATATTCATAAATCGTGTGTGGAATTGTAAAAGTTTAACATTCTAAGATCTTAACATTTTGACAACTGAGAGTGCAGAGACTATAGAAACAGCCTTGGAATGGTCTTCATTTAGCTTCTTTGGACTTCAGAGCCACTAGCACTAAACAGAATATTCCCACCAGGCCACAGGAGCCAGTTTTCATTTTTCCCAGGATCCGAAATTAGAATACCTTGTGTACAACATCAAGTTGTTACTCTAGTGCATTTACTTGGAAATGTCACATACAGGTTGTTTCTATTAAGCCTTCGAGCTGCAGTTATTTAAGGAAATGAACACACGCACACACCCACATGCACACCTGCACACACATGCTATTTACCAAGGACCTAAAGTGAGGGGAAGGGAAACTTCACACCTTAAAAGGTCCAACATTTTTGAGCCTAGAAAGGAGGACTGGAACAGCTAGGACACCCACATAGTTTTCCCACTTGGCTATTTGTTCTATGCCTTAGTCTCCCCAAAAGATGCGTGCACATGCATTTATGTCCTGCCCAAAGTTAGCAGTGGAACTCCTCACCTGCCAGCTGTTGGCAATGCCAAGGGGTCTAAGACCTGGCCACTGAGATGTGCCCACAGAGCACCCCAAATCCAGTGAAAATTGCCCTGATTTCCAGGAGATGGAATGTAGCGCTACAACTCCAGGAGGTCAATTATTCAATAGTTTTCTTTTGTAATCCTATCTACTTTGGTTTAGAGCCACGTGTAGGAATTATATAGACCTCTTTGAAATCTAGAGGCTGCTATACATCTTCTGAAACTGTACTTTGGTTGTTTTTCTTAATATCTTTACTGTGTAGGACCTCTTCCCTCCAAAACACCAGAGTCCCCTCTGAGAGCAGTTTCCTGTTCCACTTAGATAATCCCATCTGGAAATTCCTGCAGAATCACTTTTTGCATTTATATTGTGTTCTCCATTATGCATCCACACGGTGGTCGCAACTGACTTTTTTATATTTTAACTCATAGAAGCACAAAAAATTACTTTTTTCAGGAGTGGATGTATTTGAGAAAACCTGTTGGCAACCTCTTTTTTCTTTCCTTTCCTAAATTGTTTGGTTTTATTTTCTTTTCTGGATTTTGTTAGGGGTGAGCTTTGTGTCCCAGGGACAAGAGAATCAGCACAGAGGCATGTTGATGTCAACCCAAGGAGTGGTCAGACACAGTTGCTGGTGGTATGACCATCATGTTCTCTGCTAGTTGGTCCAAAGGCCAGTATGAAGAGACCAGGAATGTATTGTGTTCTAAACCTGCTTCATTTACTTTGGCTATGTCTAGAAACAATGCTTTGACAGGGAAAGAAACCACATCTGTGTCTTGGGCATTCTGAGTGTCAGTCTGGGCCCCAGTTCTCTCTTTCCACTTTGAGGTTTGGGGAGACCAGACCTGCAGCCCTCATCAGCCAACCAGCGAAGTCTCCTTAGTAGAGCAGATTGGCTACGAAGATGCTGAGTCACTGGCTTGACTGCAGAGGGTCACAGCCTGACTGTCTATGGTTGGCTTTTGTTCCCATTTTTTCTCCAAATATTTGCTTCTTGCCTGATTGATAAAAGGCCTTAAGACTCAAGACTGGGGCCTCATTGAGCTTTAGTCCTGCGTGGCTGGGTGGACAAATCCTGCAGAAATGGGGAATGGAGTTGCAGGACAGTGGTATGAATTACCTGTGCAGATCTAGCCTTCACATTTTTCCAATACGTACCAAGTGAATAGTAGAGAAAATCTCAAATAGTATTAATAAAATGAGAACAATTTTACCAAATTAATGAAAGCTCCATGTCTGCATTTTACCATTGATTTGAGAGCATCCTTCGAAAACTAAATTTAACTGAATAAAACTGAAGGTGGGCTATCTACCAGTAGAATTGCATCAATGTTAAGTTCCCTGAATTCAGTATTTGTATTGCAACTGTTGGAGAAGATCCTTGATCTCAGGAGATACATATTGAAGTATATAGTAAGTAGGAGTAACGGGTTATGATGTTGGCCACTCATTCTCAAATAATTCCACAAAATAATAAGAGTAATGAAAGAGAGAGAAAGAATGCACAAAGTTTGACAAATGTTAACAATTGTAGATTCTGGGTGAAGGATACGTAGGTATTTGTTCATTGTATGAGTCTCACGACTTTTCTGTAAAGTTTGAAAGTTTTTCAAAAATATAAAGTTAAAAAGAGCAAAGCACAGTGATTACTCATCAAAATCAAACATTTGATTTAGAGCAGTCACACTGACAGAAGCAATCAATTGAAAGAGGCTCTCCAGACTACAGTCAGTACATGCTCTATGGGCCTGTTTCTGTTCAGGATTGTCTTGCAGAATCCAAAGAACCTGTGGATAGAGGCACGGAGTTAAAGGCTGTTACAAGACTAACAGTGCTCAACCAACACACTCAACCAGCAATGCGTGGCCGTGACATAGGCCCAAGGAACCACGTTGGGGCAAAGGACACCATCCACTCTGGGAGAGGCTTTGTCTTCTCTCCTCTCCACTGCGAAGCCTCTCAAAAGCCTGCTTTTCTATGCTTGCCTCCAGTTTTTATACTATTCTTTGAAGGTTCTTTAACCCACCAGGAAGGAGTAAACCGTGCATCAAGGGGGATGCTGGTTGCCAATTGTCAAGCTCCTCAACCTCTCTTATCTCATTCTGCAGCCTGTTGGCCTTCTCCTTCACCCAGAAAGGCAAGCTGTGGAAAGAAAACAACAGCTGAGTTTGATTTTGTCTGCTGCGAAATGTACAAACACCTTCAAGGGATAGGGTACTGCATCCTCAAAAGTAAGAAGGCCTCCAATTTAGGAGACCAGTAATGAAATAAAACACCATGTTAGCTGTTCAGCATTCCCCTCTACCCCAAACCCAGATCTCTTTTCTGCCCTTCTCTGCCCAGAGAGCTGACCCCTGCAACTTGCATCACCTTGACCCCACCATGTGCCCCTAACACACTGGAGGCACCAGCAGGAGACCAAAAAGCAAGCAGAGGTTGGGGTATTTCTCACCTAGCTCTTCTACTCCCGCTCATCTCCTGAGGTACCCCAGTTCTGGCCACAACCGCACTCTACTGCCACAACCCCTTCTGGACAGCCCTTCTCCATCTCCCACCAAGCTGGGCAACAAGATCACTCTTCTTGCTGTTCAGACCTGGGAGTGGTAGTAGCGGCCCACTGGAGAGAACATCAGGGGGGCTTCGCCCTTCCATAAAATTTCCCTTGACCTGTTCACTCATCTGTAAACAGTCCTTTCATTAAGACCTCTTCAGAATCCCACCTGAGTGTGCCTTCTGTAGTTTTGCTGTCGCCTCAGCTAATGCAGACCCCCGGCACCCTCCCAAGTCTGCAGAGATGCTGGACTATACTGTGTATGTTCCAAGAGGTACCAGGAATTGTGTGACTCCTGGGATGAGTCAGAGAAAAGAGATGAAGAATCTTTTCCTCTTTGGCGGCTACAATTTTCATACATTTAGGGAGAAATGCACCATGATTGGGAAGAATGCCCTGATAAATCTGCTAGGGATGGGGAAGTCCCTGCAGGAAGGAAAAGGGATTACCACATAGGTAATAGGGGGGAGTCAAGGATATCATGTAAAGCTGACAAACCAATAGCAGAAGCCCAAATAAGACCATCAGGACCTTATTTGGGCAATATAGAAGATACTAGCATAAAAAAGAATCACTAGAACAAAACCACAAGCATTCCTTAACATCAAAAGAAATCATTTTTTTCAACTTTTGTTGAAGCAATCAAAGAAAACAGACTCATGGTAAAAATAATATAATACACATAATAAGTGTAACAAAATATTATGATAGAACTGAAATCAAATCTGTCAAATCATTAATTCAAATGATCTTAATTCACCTATTTTTTTAAAGATTTATTTTTTTTTATTTTAGAGAGAGAGAGCGCATGCGTGCGCACGTGAGTGGGGGGAGGGGCAGAGGGAGAGGGAGAGAGAATTTCAAGCAGACTCCCCAGTTAGCAAGGAGCTCTATCTCACAGCCCTGAGATCATGGCCTGAGCCGAAATCGAGCGTCTCGGATGCTTAACTGACTGAGCCACCCAGGCGCCCCTTCATTCAGCTATTAAAGAAAACAATTTTCAAAAAAAGAAAACAATTTTCAGGTTGGCTCACAAAAGCAAAATCCAACTCTGTGTGTAAAAGACAGACCTAAAACAAAGTGATTTGAAAGTCTAAAAACAAAGAATGGGTAAAGGTATATTAGTCAAATGCAAACAAAACAAAGTAAGAGTTATAATCTTAATATCTGGCAATGTATAATACAGGACAAAAAGCATTAAATGAGAAAAAGAAGATTTTTCAAAATTTTAATTCCAGTGCAGTTAACTTACAGTGTTATATTTGTTTCAGGTGTACAATAGAGTGATTCAACAATTCTATACATTACTCAGTGCTCATCATGACAGGTGCACGCCTTAATCCCCATCACCTGTTTCACTCCATCTCCCCCCACCCACCTCCCCTCTGGTAACCACCAGTTTGTTCTCTACAGAGTCTGGTTTTGGTTTGTCTAAAAAGAAGATATTTTTATAATGTTAATGGCTACAGTTAACAATAAAGATAGAAATACATTAACAGACCCATTTGCAGTCCAAGCTAGGCCAAATGAACAATTTTAATCAAAAAGATAAATCCCTCGGGGCACCTTGGTGGCTCAGTTGGTTAAGCGACTGCCTTCGGCTCAGGTCATGATCCTGGAGTCGCGGGATAGTGTCCCGCATCGGGCTCCCTGCTCAGAAGGGCGTCTGCTTCTCCCTCTGACCCTACCCCCTCTCATGCTCTCTCTCTATCTCTCACTCTCTCTCTCAAATAAATAAATAAAATCTTAAAAAAAAAAAAAAGATAAATCCCGGGGCGCCTGGGTGGCTCAGTCGTTAAGCGTCTGCCTTTGGCTCAGGTCATGATCCCGGGGTCCTGGGATCGGGCCCCGCGTCGGGCTCTCTGCTCCATGGGAGGCCTGCTTCTCCCTCTCCCACTCCCCCTGCTTGTGTTCCCTCTCTCACTGTGTCTCCCTCTCTCTCTCTCTCAAAAAAATAAATAAAATCTTTAAAAAAAACAAAAAAACAAAAAACAAAAAGATAAATCTGGAGTGCCTGGGTGGCTCGGTCGATTAAGCATCCAACTCTTGGTTTTAGTTCAGGTCATGATCTCCCAGTCATGAGATCAAGACCAGCATTGGGCTCTGCCCTCAGTGCAGAGTCTGCTTCAGATTCTCTTTCCCTCTCCCTCTCCCTCCCACTTACACACTCTCCCTCTCTCTCGTTTGCAATAAATAAATAAATAAAATCTTTAAAAAAAAACCCAAAAAGGTAAATCTTCTGGGTATGTACCTAACTTTGCATCCTGATGAAGTAGACACACCTTCAAAGGTATGTAGAGACAGTCCCCAAATTGAGCATGTATTAGGTCACAATGAAAAGTTGGTAAGTTCCATAAAATAAAAATAATAAAAACAATATTTTCTGGTCATTAGGTGATAAAAGTAAAACTGAATTACAAAATAAAAATCAAAAACCTCTTCTACTCGGAAATTTTAAATCTATTAAGCAATTCTTTAGCCGAAAGGAAGAGACCAACACAAACTGCAGAATTCTTTAAAAAATAAGGATAATCTGGGGTGCCTGGGTAGCTCAGTCAGTTAAGCGTCCAACTCTTAATTTTGGCTCAGGTCATGATCTCAGGGTTGTGAAATCAAATCTGTCAAGCCCTGAGTTGGGCTCTGCGCTGGGCATGAAGTCTGCTTAAGATTTCCTCGCCCTCTGCCCGCCCCCATCTCTCCCTCTCCAGAAAAAAAAAATATATATATATATATATATGTATATATGTATAGATATATATATATGAGGCTAATCTACACATCAAAATTTACAACATATAAGCAAAGCAGTGGACAGAGGCACTTTCATAACCTTCAGTATAGATATTAAGAAAAATTAAAGAATTTAAAAATGAATTAAACATCCCATTCAAAAAATAGAAAAAGAGGGGCACCTGGCAGGCTCAGTCAATAGAGAGTGCAACTCTTGATCTAGGGGTCATGAGTTCAAGCCCCACATTAGGCATAGTGATTACTTAAAAAAAAAAAAATAGAGGGGCTGGGGCACCTGGGTGGCTCAGTCGGTTAAGTGTCTGCCTTTGGCTCAGGTCGGGATCCCAGGGTTCTGGGATTGAGCCCAGCATCGGGCTCCCTTCTCAGCAGGGAGTCTGCTTCTCCCTCTCCCTCTGACCCTCCCCCCTGCTCATGCAAGCACTCTCTCTCTCTCTCAAATAAATAAAATCATTAAAATTAGTAAATAAAAAAAATTTTAAAAGCTCTTACTTTCGGGCGCCTGGGTGGCTTAGTTGGTTAAGCGACTGCCTTCGGCTCAGGTCATGATCCTGGAGTCCCGGGATCGAGTCCCGCATCGGGCTCCCTGCTCGGCAGGGAGTCTGCTTCTCCCTCTGACCCTCTTCCCTCTCGTGCTCTCTATCTCTCATTCTCTCTCTCTCAAATAAATAAATAAAATCTTAAAAAAAAAATTAAAAAAAAATAAAAGCTCTTACTTTCATCGATTTTTTTTCTATTGTGTTTTTAGTCTCTATTTCATTTATTTCCCCTCTGGTTTTTGTTATTTCTTTCCTTCTATCAGCTTTGGGTTTAGTTTGTTCTTCTTCTTCTAGTTCCTTGAGGTGTAAAGTTAGGTTGTTCATTTGATATCTTTCTTTTTTCTTAACATAGGCATTTATTACTATGAACTTCTCTTTTAAACCTGCTTTTGCTGCATACCGTAAGTTTTGGTATGTTGTATTTCCATTTTCATTTGTCTGAAAGTATTTTTTATTCCTCTTTTTACTTCTTCTTTGACCCATTGGTTGCTCAGGAACATGTTTAGTCTTCATTTTATTTGTGAATCTTCCAGCTTTCCTCTTGTAATTGATTTCTATTTTCACACCATCATGGTCACAAAAGATACTTGATATGATTTCAGTCTTCTTAAATGTATAAAGACTTATTTTGTGCCCTGGCAATTACTTTTATTTTAAATATTCTAGAAGAGTGTTTACAAAAAAATATACAGTACAGACATAGAAGCCCCAATTATGCGCCTCAAGTATTAATGCAGTATCATGCAGGTATGAAAGCCCCCAAGTTTGGAATAAAAGGCTTTTATTTCCACTGAGCTCCAGGGTTTGGTCTCCCAGCTGGACTCTGGTGGGTCAGACAGTGGGTCACTTGCCCACTCTAGCCATACTTATGTGAGACTGTTTTGTATTAGAAAGTGAAATTTTGGAGGGCATCTGGGTGGCTCAGTCAGTTAAATGTCTGCCTTCAGCTTGGGTTATGATCTCGGGGTCCTCAGATTGAGCCCTGCACCAGGCTCCCTGCTTAGTGGGGAGTCTGCTTCTCCCTCTCCCTCTGTCCCTACCCCCCCCACTCATGCTCTCTCCCTCTCTCAAATAAATAAATAAATTTTTTTAAAAAGTGAAATTATTTTAAGATTTATTTATTTATTTGAGAGAGAGAGAGAGAAAGCGCACACACAAGAGCAGGGGAGGGGCAAAGGGAGGAGTAGAGGAAGACAAGCAGACTCCCACTGAGCAGGGAGCCTGACGCAGGCTCAATCCCAGGACCCTGAGATCATCACCCAAGCCAAAATCAAGAGTCTGTCGTCTAACCCACTGAACCACCCGGGCATCCCTGGAAAGTGGAATTTTTTATACTGACACATATCATTTTCTAGGTCTAAACCCTACTTGGGCAAATAAATGAGGTTCAGAATGGAGCTGAACTTAAAATATGAGATCAGAGGGATGATACTTCCCTCAAGCATTCCGATGGCTTTTTCTCTGCCTCTTCAAGCTCTAACCATCCTCCCTGGTTGCACTCATTTAAGCATGGGTCTTTCTTTTCCACAACTCGTGGGTTTTGGAAATCAGGGACCCTGTCTTTTTGCTCCATATAAACCCCCCACGGTGCACACCTAGCACAACACAGGGCCTCAGGCGGGCTGTCCATCTTATCGGCTGAAGATGTGGGCGACCCAGCTGCCAGACTCCACAGTACTTGCCCTCCGAGCGTCTCACCAAAAACCCTCCATACACAATGCTCCACCTGCTGGGATACCAAAGGTCTCTCTGTGTTGGGTGTCTATGAGCTCCTCCATAGGAGAAACCTGTAAATAACCGATAACTTCATAAAGATCAGATAATATAAAAACATGGTAAGAGAACTCACGTAGGAATTTGTGGAAGAGGCTCAAGTGGAATAAAGGTATCGTATTTCTTTTCATAAGGCACTCTGAAAAACAGAACAGACAACCATATGATTGGTAGGGCTTCTACAGCAGAGAGATCAATACATCATCATATTCAAGAAAATGTCTTATTTAAAAAAAAAAAAAGAAAATGTCTTATTTTCTGGTTTTAATGGCCACCTAGGGGCTTCACAACTGTAAAGGTCATAATTCTTATTATAATTTTTACTAAACATCATTAAACCAAACATGATTAATTTTTTAAAATATTAATGTAATATACCAACTATTTTTCTTTTAACTTAATGAACCTCCCTTTCTCCTCAACCACTTTGGTCTAAGTTTAGGTCCAAGTGTACATCAATCCAAACAGTAGTCACCAATAACCTGATTCAGTATGAAACTGAAAAGTCTTCAGATCTGTGGTAACAACAATTGGGACAAAATTAACAACCTCCTTTTTGTAGTCAAGATCCTGTATATAATTTCAATTACACACACGCATGTGTGTGGACACTAAGGAACTAGAGATGAACGTTTTTTTAAAAGATTTTATTTATTTGTCAGAGAGCGAGTATAAGCATGGGGAGTGGCAGGCAGAGGGAGAAGCAGGTTCCCCTGAGCAGGGTGCCCGACGTGGGACTCGATCCCAGGACCCTGGGATCACAACCTGAGTGGAAGGCAGACGCTTAACCAACTGAGCCATCCAGGCACCCCTAGAGATTAACTTTTTTAGGAATTGTCAGCAACCATGTTTTGTTGGAATCTACTCCTTATGAAATATAACATATATAGTACAGAGAGATACAATTCCTTTAAAATTAACAAACTAACCCTACTATTCACATACACTTACATGGAGAAATTCACTGGTGGGAGAGTTGATCCTGCTTTGTGGAAGTCTTTACTCTGTTCTGGGTACATATATGGATTATCTCCTGGAGTTAACTTTGGTATTCCATTCCTAGGATCAATATCTGTGAAAGATATTTAAAAACAAGATCATAAAAAGGACTGAAGGTAATCCAAAGATAGGCTCTATCAATATGCCAATGGAAACAAAAAATTTCATGTTTTATTATGAGGTACATATTATTATTATGTTTGTGATTGTCTTGCCTTGAGAAGATGAAAAGTGTCCTTGAGAAACGCTGTGTTTGGGAGATTTTCCAGAAAGTGTCATAATTACCCCACCCCAAGAAATAAGAATAGCTTAGGTTCAGAGGGGATGTTTTGGTTTAAAGTGATCGGTGAATCAAAGGTATCTGCAAAGGATACGCAAGAAGTCTGCTTAAAATCTGAGCATTGGTATACTTTGAATCCCTGTGCCCTATAAAGCTTAAGAAGCAACCGTAATTGGGTCCTTCTCTCTGACTGGATCTCAGAAGGAAATTAGCTAATGAGGAAGAGCTACAGAAGAGAAAAGTTATATTTTCAGGTCAATTTCACTACAACCTATAACCACAGACAACATTTTGTTCTTCCTTCTATGACGACAAATTAGGCCTTTAAGGAACTCCACCAGTGGCCTGAACATAGCTAATGTGTTAGAGTCAACCATTAATGAGAAATATTTTGATTGTTTTTTTTCTATAATAAAGGTGTTGAATTTCAGTTCATAATGGAAGCTGACTGGCAGTCATGATGCTGCCTCTCCATCTTATCCAAGAAATAACAAGAGAGAAGAGAATGTCACGAAAGAAGAAATGCCCCGTGCCAAGCTTAACAGTATCAAGTGCCACAAGAGATTGAGGAAGAGAAAAAAATGGAAAAAGACCAATGTATTCAGGGTTTAAAGAAGTCATTGCACATCACCTAAGAAGTAATCACACTAAAACGAATCAAGACTATAGGTCCAACTATCAGTTTACAAGAAATACATAGGACAGAGAAACCTGTTAAATGGTACCAAGGGGTATAATCAGCAAAATCCTGACTGTGGCAAACTCTACAGGATACATGACCTACTTTCTTTTTTTTTTTAATTAATTATTTGAGAGAGGGCGCCTGGGTGGCTCAGTTGGTTAAGCGACTGCCTTCGGCTCAGGTCATGATCCTGGAGTCCCGGGATCGAGTCCCGCATCGGGCTCCCTGCTCAGCGGGGAGTCTGCTTCCCCCTCTGACCCTCCCCCCTCTCATTCTCTGTCATTCTCTCTCTCTCAAAAATAAATAAAATTTTAAAATATATATATTTTAATTATTTGAGAGAGAGAGTGAGTGAGTGAGAGAGCACACACAGGGGGAGCAGCACAGGGGGAGGGAGAAGCAGGCTCTCCACTGAACCGATAGCCCAATGTAGGACTAGATCCCAGGACCCTGAGATCATGACCTGAGCTGAACCATGACCTGACCTGATGCCCAACCAACTGAGCCACCCAGGTGCCCATGACCTAGTTTCTATACAAAATAAATTGTAAGAAAAAAGAGGGGGAGGACCTATATTAAAAAGAGACTTGAGGGACACCTGGGTGGCTCAGTCTGTTGGGCGTCTGCCTTCAGCTCAGGTCCTGATTCCGGGGTCCTGGGATCGGTCCTCAGTTGGGCTCTGTGCTCAGCGGGGAGTCTGCTTCTTCCTCTGCTCCTCCCCCCCACTTGTGTTCTCTCTCTCTCTAATAAATAAATAAATAAATTCTTTAAAAAAAAAGAGAGAGAGAAACTTGAGAGACATTTTAACTAATTGCTAAGTGTGGACCTTATGTGGATCCTGATTCAAACTATAAATATTTTTAAATTTTGTCATTTGTGAGGTAATTGAATATTTGAACACTGACTGAATACATGGTGATATTAAGGAATTATTGTTTGTTTTTTTAAGATATGAAAATGGTATTGCAATCATATTAATAAAAATAATCCTTATCTATTAGAGGTACACACTGAAAAATACATACGCAATTATCTGATGCCTGGAACTTGCTTTAAAATAATCCCTGGGAGAGAGGGGTAAAAATGAACCAAGATAAGCCACATGTTGATAATTGTTGAAGCTAGGTATATTATGCTCTTCTCTCTATTTTGGCAAATGTTTGAAAATGTCCCCAATAAAAAGTTTTTCTTTGTAATAAAGGTAGAATAGGGGTTCTCAGCGGAGTTGGGGGAGGAAAGATGTATTCAGGAAGGGGCCTCTCAGAAACTGCAAATATAAAGACAATACTCCCTTTCTTAAATGGAGTAAGAAGCATGCAAGTGATTGTGATACTTTATTCTATATATTCAGTAAATATTTCATAAGTGTACCTTTGCATTTTTCAATATGTATAAAGACCATAAAGGGAAGCAAGCAAGGAAGGAAGGAAGGAAGGATGGAAGGGAAATAATAATACACAAAATTCAGGATAATGTTTACCTTGAGTTAGGAGGGAAGCGACAGGTTAGGGTGAGGATTTGAGTTCATCGTGATAACCCCATTTATTGTTGATAAATACTTGCAGCTGGCCCAGTTCTAGGCAGTGAGACACAGATCCTAAGGACCATATGAGAAAATTTTCCCTTCGTTCTAAAAGGGAAAGGCAACAAGAGAGAGTCCTCTTTTTCATGTTTTGAAATATTTTAATATTTAAATTAAAATTTAAATACATATGATGGGCAGCATCTAACTGCTTGGAACTGCAACAGTTCTCTTGTGACCATAAGATGACAAGTGTGAAGACAATAATCCAACACAGTCTAAGAATAGCAGCACAGAAAGACAAAATGAGCCTCTCTTTGATGACATCACTGGGCAACCAGTCCACATAGGCCACCTAGATTTCAAAGCTTCTCGTTAAATATATAATAAATATTTTATTTTTTTAAAAAAGCATATAATATCTGGGGCGCCTGGATGGCTCAGATGGTTAAGCATCTGCCTTCAGCTCAGGTCATGATCTCGGGGTCCTGCATCTCGAGTCCCACATTGGGCTCCCTGCTCAGCAGGGAGTCTGCTTCTCCCTCTCCCTCTGCCTCTCCCCCTGCTTGTACTCTGTCTCTCTGTCTCTCTCTTAAATGAATAAATAAAATTTTTTTAAAAGCATATAATATCTTATGATTTAAGCCTCTGACAGTTTGGTTTTCATCCTACTAGGGCCGAGAGCATTCCTAAGTACTATATAGCTAAACTTAGTCCCTTCCTGATTTTTCTCAGTTGTTTTATATTTAAATAAATCTTTCCTATTCTACCCATCTCTGTTGGGAGTGAGAATTCAGGGTGTGCACAACAGGCTCACATATCAGGGCTTTGGTGGAAGGCTTTGGGTCCTGGGTCACCAACTGCAAACCACACCAGTATCTGATACTCGCCTTATCTCTGATACTCTCTGAAGGCTGGCATTTATTTCTGGGGTCTGCTAAAATGTGTCATCTAGTCTGATCCTCGGGAAGCCAGCCCCCTCCACAATGCATCATGTGAAGCACCAATTTATTCTCCTATGATCCCTGGCTTGATGGTCCCCAGCATAAACCTATTATGGGTAGGTTGGGACAGAGAACTCACTATGTAGCAAACTATATATATATATATATATATATATACACACATATATATATGAGTGTATATATATATATATATACACTCATCTCAATTACCTTTAATTAAATAAGCTATGAAATAACAGCATGCACTTCAGGCTAAGGTTTATGGGAATATTTTCCTTTTGAAGACTATAATGTACAATTTAAATACATATGATGGGCAGCATCTAACTGAAACATAAATTATTTTCTGCAGACTTGAATGAAGGTTTCTATTAATAAGTATCTGAGAGAACTTATCTGAGGACTTAAATGTCACATTAGCATTTTATGAAAATTCAGAGAAAAACAAAAATGTGGATCAGCATATGTTGTAAGTTCTTTGCCAGAAAGTGCAGTCTGCCAACCATCCCCTTCACTTTCCCATCTTCCTGGCTGCGCTAGAGTGACATGGCAACCCCAGAGGGCGGACGCCAGCCATGGAATGTTGGGCCTGCAGAACCATAACTCAGGGAGTATTTTTAGGCATGGCACAGTCAAGGTCCAGGAGAAAAATATTACCGTATTTCTTCCTCCCAAAGCACTTGTCCACCATTCTCTCTGACAGAGACCTCCTGTTGCCGAGGAAGACCCCGTTAAAGAAACACTGCTTTCCAACATGGTAGGTGTGGATATTGCTAATAAATCTTGGGTAAAATGTCCATTCGGGACGCTGCCCATCTTCTGCAAGACATCAGAAATCCTTCCATCAGCATTGCTTCCGGCCTCACATAATGCAATTAAATCACAGAAAAATTGTCCCAGGCATTCTCTGACTGGCCTGTACTTTATCAACGTGTATAATCCCTTGGTTCTACAACTGGGCTAATGCTAACCTGTGGGGAACTAGGCCTGAAAGGAAAGGAAGTGGGGAGAAAGGTATCTAAGAAGCTTTTTTTTCCCTTTTTATCCTCTTGTCCAAAAATAAAGCCAATTTTACAGTTGGAAGTAATGTATGGAATGGGAAGCTCAGAGACACTTTTACAAGCACCTACGATCCAACCTGCACTCAGATAAGTGGGTAGGAAAAAGAGAATGCCCATCAGCCAGGGAAGGGCCAGGCCAACCATAGCATCTTAGCCGGATGACCCGCGGTGTTGGCAGGTGTTGGCAGCAACAGCTAGAATGACACCGGAAAATGTCTCCATGCAACCCTGGGCAAATGACAAAGGCCGCTGCGGGACCTCAGGCAGGTTACTGGATCTGTCCATGTCTTTGTTTCCTCATTCAATACTTTTCCTATAAACCGTGATGTTAAACAATGAGAGATCCCTTAACAGTGCTAGTGTTGCGTGAGAAGCCCTTGGGCTCCGTGGTGGCCAAGAAAGCACACAGGCTCTGGAGACAGGCATGTTCAGATTCCAATCCCACCACTGTACTTCCTAGCTGGGTGTTCTTGTATGAGTGACTAAGTCTCTCCAAGCCTCAGTTGCCTTCTGTGTAAAATGGGTAGGTCTATATTAGCCACCTAGATTTATATGTATGACACAGAAAGAGGTCCATGATCTATTTGCCTTGAGTGAAAACAGTTTGTCTCCTATTTTCCATGAGTGCAAATATGGTTGTATATACCCTACAAACCATATATACCTAAGTACATACATACATGCACATACATGCTTCAAAATTCCTCATGGATACAGGGCATAATGGGGATACTGCCGGAAAACACTGGGGAAGGGGTTTCTATACTCTAAATATTCCCCTATTATTTTAATACTTTACTATGGTATTTTATGGTTTTTATATAAAGCCATTTTAGTTTTGGAAAACATATAAAGACAGCTCCTCAGCAGAGTCACTGTGAGACTTAGAGATGAAACGTGTCCAACACCTGGCACTTCCCAAGTCTCCAATGAACAGTGCCTAAACCTACAGCAGACTTCTGGAAAGCCCTGGGCATGGAGGCATGCAGGGGAGGGGCTATGACGCACTCACTTGTCTTCAATTTAAGCAGGCTGAACTCCTCAGGATATTTATGCTTTGGGACGTCAGGCAATGAGGTTTCAGAGGAGTGATCAGAATGTGCGGAGGAGGATTTCAGACCCAAATCTGCAGCCAGGCTGGAAAGGAAGCTGAAGGATTAGATTCACCCATGTGCTTAAGTTGGTAGTTAGAACCTGATTTTACATATTTTACACTAGAATTACCCTCCCTTATGACAACTAGGCCTGCCTCTCCATAAATATGTCCACGACATATTATTTATTTGCTCACAATTTGAGGGGACTGAGTCAAAAGATGCATCCTTAAAAACATTGTGGTAGTTCCTCAAAAAGTTAAATATAGAATTACCATATAACCCAGCAATTCCACTCCTAGCCATATACCCCCAAAGAATTGAAAACAGAGACTCAGATACTTGTAAACGAATGTTCTTTGCAGCATTACTCACATTGGCCACACAGTGGAAACCACCCAAATGTTCACTGACCAATGAATGGATAAGCAAAAGATGACATTGACATACAATGGAATATTATTTAGTCATAAAAAGGAATGGAGTTCTGATACATGCTACAACATGAATGAAACTTGAAACATTGTGTTAAGTGAAATAAGCCAAACACAAAAGGACAAATATTGTATGACCTCATTTATATGAAATATCTTAATACGTAAATTCAGAGAGACAGAAAGTAGATCAGGTTAGTAGATTAGGGCAGATGAGAGTACCAGAGTCTGGGGAGAGGGGAGAATGGGGAATTATTGCTTAATGGGTATAGCACTTCTGTTTGGACTGATGAAAATGTTTTAAAAGTAGCAATGATGGGGGCATCTGGGTGGCTCAGTTGTTAAGCATCTGCCTTTGGCTCAGGTCATGATATTGGGGTCCTGGGACTGAGCCCCACATCGGGCTCCCTGCTCAGCAGGGAGCTTTCTTCTCCCTCTCCCTCTGCCGCTCCCCCTGCTTGTGCTTGCTCTCTCCCTCTCTCTCTCTGTGTCAAATAAATAAATAAAATCCTTAAAAAAAATAGCAGTGATGGTTGAAAGGTAATTAATGTCAATGGGTAAAAAATGGATAAAATGGCAAATGTTATGTTATGTATAATTCACCCCAATTTTTTTAAAAAAAGGAATGATGTACTGATACATGTTGCAACATAGATGAAACTTGAAAACGTAACACTGAATGAAAGAAGCCAGACACCAAAGACTACATATTCCATTTATATGAAATGTCCAGAATAGGCAAGTCTATAGAGATAGGAAGTACATCAGTGGTTGTCTAGGGCTGGGGCGGGGGGGCGGGTAGGGGACATGGCAGGAGTGACTGCTCAAAAGGATGGGCTTCTCTTTGGAGGTGATGAAAATGTTCTAAAATTGATCGTGGTGGTGGTTTAGTAAATACACTAAAAATCATTGAATTGCACACTTTATAAGGGTGAAGATTTTTTTCTTATGCACATAAAAAAAATAATATCAAAATGTTAACATTAAGGGGCACCTGGCTGGCTCAATCTGTAGAATGTGTGACTCTTGATCTCGGGGTTGTGAGTTTGAGCCCCACGTTGAGCGTAGAGATTACTTAAAAATAAATCTTTAAAAAATACGTTAATATTGATTCTCTAAGATGTGGAATTACCATGATTTTTATTTTTAATATTGTTTTTATACTCTGAAAATTTCTACAGTGTACAATTTCCTTATAACAAAAGCCATTTTAAAAAAAGGCTTCCAAAACTTTTTACTGTAAAGAAATCTAAACAGAGAAAAGCACTCACAACAAATACAGTTTTACAAATAATTATAAAGCCAGCCCTCCCCTCCCACTCTTCCCCCAACCCACTGCTCTCCAGAAACCATTTGCGTGTCCCCATCCCAGAGAATTAACCACTATCCTGACTCTAACTCTCACGGTAATCATGGCTTTGCTTTTCTTTAAGATTTACCACCTAAGTATGTATTCCAAAAAATATAGCTTAGTTTCGCTTGCTTTTGAACTTCATAATAACAGGCATGCCTACAACACATATTGTGTGTCATGGAGTCTTCCAATCCCTTTCCATGTATTAACTGATTTAAACCTCAAAACAATGCTATGAAGTATTATCTCCATTTTACAGATGAGAAAACTGAGGCCCAGGAAGGTAAAGTAATTTTCCCAAGTTCACAGAGATGAACTTGGCAGAGCTGGGGTTTGAACCTAGACAGCCTGGCTCCAGAATCCATGCTCTTGCCAAACACATCATGCTACCTCTCAGAATGTTGGCTTCCTGGTCAGAATTTACCCCGACAGTTATGGTCTTTATTGAACCCTTACTTACTCTAGGTGAACAGACACTTTGCAGAGGCCTGGAGGCTCACTCACACTAAGACATGTTTCAACAGAAGATGACGGGCTGACCTTTCTGCCAGAGGATGTCGTGTTAGCAAAGCATCCCTTAGATTCCGGAAAATCACTGTGTTTAGTACCTGTAACACATCACCATTGGATTTCATTAATGAAATGAAATACCTACCCCTCCGTCTTGTTCCCTGGATTATATAAATTACTTTTTTTAAAACTAACACTTATTGAGCATGTATTGTGTACTGGGGATTATGTTAACATTTTACACGCATTATCCCACTTAATTCCCATAACACCCACAGACATAAGTATTACTTATCCTTCCACTTTACTGATGAGGGAACTAAGGCACAGATGGTTAAGCAACTTGCCTAAGATCACACAGAAAATAAACACCTGGGTCCAGATTTGATAGCAGCTCTTGTGACACTAAAGTCAAAAATCCTAACCATATGCTAGACTACTTGACCCTCCAGAGTTTACCTACTTGGAATTAAGTGGAAGAGATAACATCTGAATCAAGCTATAGATCTGTACATTGCATTGAGCACCTCAAGACAATCTTCCAAAGGATTTATTCATGGAAAGACTCAGGAGTAATCCAAAGACCTGCCATCAGAAACTTCCATGGGTTCCCCTCACACTGGAGCGTTGTCATTAATTTATACACATGTCTTCCCCACCAGATTTGTTATTATTTCTTATTCATCTTCGCAGCACCCAGAAAAGTGCCTGACACAAAGTAGATGCTCAACGAATATTTGAGCAAATAAGTGAAAAAGAATTATAACTCCCCAAACTCCCCAAGTAAGGGAGTCCTGAAAGCCGGGGCTCTCAGATACAGAATCATAACCCTTATCTTCACTCTGCTATAGAATTACTGATTCATGTTCTCTCATCATTCTACAGAGCTGTGTGCCTGCCCAGTCACTTAAAAAAAAAAAAAGTCAGAGGAATGAATATTGCATTTCTTTATGCATAACTTTAAAGCGCATGGAAGCTCAATAGACACAATGTAACCTCTAGTTACAAGAAAATTACAAAAAATAGGAGTCAGACTTCTGTGACTCTTGAGTACAATTCCCTCCCCTCCCAGGATCCCCATTTTTGGGTTTTTCAGGCTATGGTATAAGGACTGTCTGCATCAGAATTACCTGAGAACCCTGTTAAAAATACAGATTCTTAAATCCCATCACAGATACTGAATTAGAATCTCTCTAAGTGAGGCCTGGGAACCCTCAATTTGAATTCCATCCCCTGCAGCAATTAGGCTCACATTCCGCAGTGATATTCCTCCTCTTCAAGTCTAGCTCCACCACTGCATTCTATACCATCCCACTTCCTGATGCCGAACTGCCCAGAGTTTCTCGAATTTGCTCAATCACAAGGATCACCTTAGGGCACTTGGTTCAACACTCAGGATCCCAGGGCTCTGACCCAAACCTGCAGGGGAAGACCTGGGTGTCAGTATGGTTAAGAAGCACCTCAGGTGATTCTCAGAGCCGGCCAAGCATGAGAAGAGCAATTCTGGAATATGCAAGGGCACCTAGAGCAGCCCCAGGTAGAGGTAGGGTCAACTGGTTGCTTGAGGTGTGAGTAGCTAGCTGGGTGGAGTGGAGCACAGGGGAGGAGCTGAGAAAGACACGGAGCTATGAAGGAGAGAGTACAGGTTCCCAATAGCCAAAGGAGTAACCATCAACCTACAAGCCATAAAAGTCGTGTCAACAAATGTAACATAGACCACACTCTCCGGCCACAATGCAATACAATTAGAAATCAATAATAAAAAGACAGCCAAAAACATCCATAAGCTTGGAAACTCAAACCACACTTCTAAATATTTCATATAAAAGAGGACACTGCATTGGAAATCATGAGGTGCTTAATGGTCAATGACTTAAGTACTATAAATCAAAACTTGTCATTATCCGAAGTAAAGCAGTAAGTAGAAACTAGAGTCTGAAATGCATTTACTGTATAGCCTGTATTTCACTGAATATGAGGCACCAGCAATTGTAACAACATTAGTATTTTATGTACCACGAAGAGCAAAACTATGACAGAATGCTTTACCACTTAGAGTCTTGATTATATATTTATTGAAGCACTCTTTCAGACTTACTTAGATGTAGATTTTAAGCACATACCATTCATGCACATGTTTAAAGAAGGAAAATATAAGCAAATAAATTGGTTAAGGCTTTCTTAAATCTTGCATTCAAAAATCTGATTACTGAGTCACTTTTCAATTCAATCACTGATGTCCACATTTTCCACCTAAATTGACATCTGTGCAACAAGCACATGGGTGATGCAGCACTTCTTAAATGAGTGCTCCTCAACTGCCTCTGGAATGTTCTTCCAAGACACAGACACACCTTCTGCATTATTCAGCACTCATTTAGCAAAGTTTCTAACAACTACTTCACACCTGCTGCTGGGCCCACTGCACTAGGAAGACCAATCCAACTTCCGAGATGCAAACTCTGAAAAATGTCCATCTTAGAATTGACAGGTTATAGTGTTAAAAAAAATAAAATAAACAAAGATTCCCGGGGTGCCTGGGTGCCACAGTCAGTTAAACATCTGACTCTTGGTTTTGGCTCAGGTCATGATCTCAGGGTCATAAGATCAAGCCCCCCATCGGGCTCCATGCTCAGCATGAAGTCTGCTTGAGACTCTCTCTCCCTCTCCCTCTACCCCTGCCGCTGGTGTTCTCTCTCTCTCACCCTCTCTCTCTCTAAAACAAATAGGTAAATTTTCAAAAACAAACAAAAAAACGAAGATTCCAAAATTAATGAGCTAAACTTGCAATACAAGAAATAAGGAAAAAAAGAATAAGCCCCCCAAAACAATAAAAAATGGATATCATAAAATAAAAACAGAAATGAATGAAATAAAGATTATTAGAACTATGGCTTCATGGAAAAAATGAGTAATGTAGATAAACAAAGTTCAAGAAAAACCAATCTTTAAGAAAAGTAAACAGTATTAGCAATGAAATACCATAATTGCAAATAAAATAGAAATGATTTTACAAATAAAGAAATTGTCGAAAATGTCCAATTACTTGTTCAAGGTTACAGAGCTATAGAGTATAATTTATAAAATGTAGCTTGATATTACAATAATCAAGATGATACTGACACTAACCCTAACAGATAAATCAAGAGAACAAAATAGAAAATGTAGATAGAATAAAATTTTATATAATAGAGGCATTTCATGTCCATGAGGAAAGAATGGATTATTCACAAATATTGCTGAGGGGCGCCTGGGTGGCTCAGATGGTTAAGCGTCTGCCTTCGGCTCAGGTCATGACCCCAGGGTCCTGGGATGGAGTCCCCCACATCGGGCTCCCTGCTCAGCGGGGAGCCTGCTTCTCCCTCTGCCTCTGCCTCTCTCTCTCTCTGAGTCTCATGAATAAATAAATAAAACATTTAAAAAAGTAAAAAAAAATTGCTGAAACAACCATTTGCATGAAAATAAAATTAATTAATTAATCCCCAGATAAATTCCAGATGAATTATAGATTTGAATATAAAACTTAAAATAAAGGATGTACCTGAAAAAGTGATAATTGAATGTTTATATAATCTTAGCTCGGGGAAGTTATTTCTAAGAAAGATATCAAATATAGGCAAAATAAAGGAAAAGATGCATAGATTTGAATACATATACATTTAAAACTTCCATAGCAAACTATAAGCTGGAGGAAAGTTCATAGCATACACAATAAGAAAAAGCGTTAATAGTCATGACAAATTATGAGTTTTTATAAATTTATAAGATGAAAATACCCAAAGAGAAAAAAAAAATGGGCAAAGGACATGATTAGGTAACTCATTAAAACATACACACGCACAAATAGCCGATACACACTTGGAAAAAAATCCATCCTTCCTAGTAATCAAAAAGCTGAATTTAAAATGAGATACCAGTATTTGCTATGAGTTTGCAAATACCCAAGGCTGGCACAGCTTGGAGGAATGGCATTCTTGTACCTTGCTGGGTACAAGCACTTTGGCCATATGCATCTTAGCACTTTGGCCATATGCATCCTCCAAAGCCTGTGAGAAGTGCACTTTTGATCCGGTGGTTCTACTTCTAGAAACATATCTATGAAAAAGATATGAAATTTATCTATAAGGATGCAGAAAGGATCTACACATGCCGAGAAGAAATAAGAGCAAGAGTAGAGATATCGGGCGCCTGGGTGGCTCAGTTGGTTAAGCGACTGCCTTCGGCTCAGGTCATGATCCTGGGGTCCCGGGATCGAGTCCCACATCGGGCTCCCTGCTCAGCAGGGAGTCTGCTTCTCCCTCTGACCCTCTTCCCTCTCGTGCTCTCTCTCATTCTCTCTCTCTCAAATAAATAAATAAAATCTTCAAAAAAAAAAGAAAAGAGTAGAGATATCTTCTAGGTTGATACTCATATGTAAGTTCTGAGTTATTTATTAGAGCATTTACTTATAATAAGTTTTGCCCATAGGTTTTAACAGTTTTAACAGTGGTTGCCTTTTTTTAAAATTTACTTATTTATTTTAGAGAGAGGGAGGGAGGGAGAGAGTGCGTGCTGGGGGTGGGGGGCAGAGGGAGAGAGAGAATCTTAAGCATGTTAAGCAGGCCCCACACCCAGCCCAGAGCCGGAAGTGGGGCTCGATTCCAGGAGTCAAGAGTCAAGAGTCGGATGCTTAACCTACTGAGCCACCCAGGCGCCCCAGTGGTTGCCTTTTCATAGCATGTAAGCAATTCTAATTGTATATTTGCCACTAGAGGACTTGAGAGTTCACCAAAGCAAGAATTGGTTGCTAGGGATGGCATCACAAGTTTCTCGGTTTATTTTGTTTTGTTTTTTCAATTTTAGGGGCAAAATTTAAATATATTACATAACCCTGAGCCACAAGCAGTGAAATTGCTGTCTCCAAATTTAGCATATTTCCTTGTTTGCTTAAGTTTTGTGTTGGCAACTGTCCAGAAGGTGGCTGCTGTAACAGGGAAGGCTTGCCTGACAAGCAAGGGTAGGAAGAGCAGTCTCTCACCTAAACAGGCAGGGGGCACATCCTCCAAATCCCCTGACTACAGGATCTTCCTAGAAGTAACTCAGCCTCAAATACAACCTGGAGACACTTAACCACAGCCTCTGGCTGCCACTCCACATCTCCTCAAGTAGAAGGAGAGCTGCAGTTGCAAGTCTGACCCCTTCCGTTCCGACAGTGATGTTCCCATTGTGTAAAGTAACCTCCAGTTACTTCTAGCAAGTCAATTACCTCTCCAGCCCAGCCACCCACACCTGCCCCACCTCTGTCTAGCTCATGAGGCTGCAGGGATACAGAGAAGCTAAGGCACATCCTTCTTGAAAAGGTCATCACTTTGCATAATAATTGGTATTCAAACTCAATGTCCAGCCAGCCGTAGGACAGGAAACTCTCAACAAGTTTGCTGAAACGCTATGATATAAGATGACTCAATAGAAAGGACTGAGAGAAGGTTCTGGCAACTAGAAAGTAATTCAGGGGGAAATGCGGAGTGAAGAAAGTCTGTTTCTTTGGTACCATCTGCGGAATTCACGCTAATTATTTCCATGTCTTTAGGCAGGAATAACACCCTACATAACCAAGGCGCTTTCACACACTTGCCAATCACAGCTCGTTTACACAATAGCATGGTCTGGGGCAGAAAATAATACATCAAACCAAGTTAGCTTAACGTGCATACCTTTTAAACAAACACTCAAGTTTCTCACCCCTGCTTATCGGCTCAACAAACAACCTAAGGGTGTAGGACAGTGGTTTTTAACCCTTTTTTGAATCGTAGACTCCCCTGAGAAGTCATGAAAGCAATGGGCCCTCCTTGCTGGAAAAATGCATATCCACCCCCAGTTTTGCATTCATTTTCAACTGGTTCGTGGAGCCCCTTCCTTCCCGAAACCCATGGACTCCGCGTTAGGCTGAGCTCAGATGTGGTCTTCTGAGGGGACACACCTACAGAGCAGAAAAGGAAGTCACGGATCTTTGGGGATCTCTGGGTCCCATGCTCTTCCAGTACCCCCTTAAACATGTTTAAACACCTTTGAAACAGCAGTTCCATTACCTGAGCTCAACCTGGAAACTGTGGAAAAGTCTGGAGCTTAAAGTTAGAAGCCCAAAGCCTTTTCCTCCTTGCTGACCTAGCCACATTGGACAATTAATGGTTCTAACTCCTCCTGCTCATTAGTAATATACCTCTGGGGCTGTTACCGGATTCAAGGAGGTAATTTGTGAGAACCTCTGCTTTGACCTACTATCTGCCTCATCAGATTTTGTGTTAAGGGGCAACTCTCTTGGGTCCCTCCCTCTCCGGGAGCTTTGTACTATCACTCAATAAACTTTGATTAAAAAAAAAAAAATCTTGGGTCAACACAGGCATAGGCTACTATTCAAGGAATTCTTTTTATATGCCCACAAACTGGCCTCCCTTTAAACTTTAAGTGGTTTAAACTTCCCGGCTTTGGTATACTTGGATCTGGCGACCAAATCCACACCCAGCCCTCCTGACTTCTTCAACTCAACTGTATCTCCTCTCCACCGTGGTCAGGTCAGAGTCTCCTTTCTTTTGAACCTTCTCCAGCTCTCTGCTGCAGGGCTCTCTGCAGATGGAGGGGAGAGGGCAGTTCCATGGACCGTTTCCAGGGGACATGGACTCATTTTTGCGTGTGTTGATTTTAAGTATCAAGAGCAACCCGGAGATCAAGAAAAGACCTTTGTAAGAAAGGCATCAATCAAAGCAAAGAGAAAGTCTACAAGCCATTGATTGGAAAGTCCAGAGGGCAGGGTTGGCATCTTAATCAGAGCTTCCCTCTCCCCGGGCTTTTCTCGGTCGGGACGTCTCCGGAGTTCCCGTGGGTTCTCTCCCCCGCCCAGACTTACTGCCCCCGCCCGCGGCAGGTGCTCCTTCCCTTTCCACCTCCAGGGCTTCCACCCGGTCCACCGAGAATGCGGCGAGATGAACGCCACCAACCGGCGGCAGAACTACCTGGCGCCGAGCGAAGGGCAAGAGCTCAGCTGGGCCGCCGGCTTCCCGCGCGGAGGCGCATTCCGGGGTTGCCAGGACACTAGCCCGGCGCGCTCCGGCCCTCTGCGGGTGCCCGGGTCCCCGAAACAACCAACGGCGCTACCCACCCCCAGCCAGCTAGGGCGGGCGGCGCAGGCCAGGACCGCTGGGAGAGCTGCTCAGGGTTGCTGGATTTTTTTTTTTTTTTAAAGTTGTGGTTTTTCTCCAGGCAGATTTTCATTATTGGAACTGTAGCCTCTGGTGGCAGTGAAGGATGGGCCGTGCACAGAGCTTGCAGATGCCTGTTCATAATTGGCATTGATTAGGCAGGATCACCTACCACTTTTCTGGGCCAGGCGCCCTGCTGGATGTTATCTTCCCTAAGCAGCCAGCTGCATTTTTCAAAATAGAAAGCTGAATTTGAGCAAGGACTTGCTCAAGGTCACCCCCCCCCCAAAAAAAAACAAAAAAAAAAACTAAGATTCATTTCCAAGTTTCCCCACTCCAAATCATCATACCAACTTGGATGTGTCTCTAATGCTTTCCAGCATCTAATTAATCTTTCATGGAAAATTTTCCCCAAGTCAGGTTTAAGTCCCTCAATTCAAATTCAGACCTAATTTCTCCCTTGGTGAAGTGGAAAAAAAATTACACCATGTTTTTCTTCTTCTAAGATTTTATTTATTTATTTGTGAGAGAGAGAGCAGGAGTGGGGGGGAGGGGGGCAGAGGGAGAGGGAGAAGCAGACTCCCCGTTGATAGGGAGCCTCATGCACGGCTGGATCCCAGGACCGGAGACCATGACCTGAGCTGAGGTCAGCTGCTCAACCACTCAATCAACTGAGCCACCCAAGCGCCCCTCTGTTTTTATTCTCAATAACAATTTCTAATCAATTATAAAAGAAATAAATGGTCGGGCACCTGGGTGGCATAGTCGTTAAGCGTCTGCCTTCAGCTTGGGTCATGATCCCAGGGTCCTGGGATCAAGCCCCACATCGGGCTCCCTGCTCCGATGGAAGCCTACTTCTCCCTCTCCCACTCCCCCTGCTTGTGTTCCCTCTCTCGCTGTGTCTCTCTCTGTCAAATAAATAAATAAAATCTTTAAAAAAAAAGAAAGAAAAAAATGGTCACTGCAGAAATCTTGGAAAATATAGAAAAGCAGTGATGATACCCAGAATCCCACAATCCTAATAAACCACTTTTTCAGGATATCTATTTCTGTGTAACAAGTCATCCCCAAACTCTGGGGCTTTATACAACTATCATATTATCTCCTGATTCTAGGGATTGGCTAGGCTAAGTTAGGCTGTTCCTACTTGGGGTCTCTCATGAGGTTGCAGTCAGAAGGTGCCTGGAGTTTCCTCCTTCATGTCTGGTGACTTGTGTTGGCCATCAGCTGGGACCTCAGCTGGGGCTTTGGTGTATACTTCTAGCAGGTTCCACAGCAAGGTCAATGGTAGGTAGCCTGGTCTTTAGCCCCCAATTCCCCACTCTGACGTGCAGGACCCTATTTCGTGTTCACAGACCCGGACCGGGATGAGCTCTGAGAAGGGACAACAGACAGAAGGCTGGGTAGTGTAAGCAGGTGGATGAGGCAGGCTGCTGCAAGCACCAGCTAGGGAGGGTCCATTCCCGTTCTCGCTTGGCTCCAATGTCTCCTGTGACCCCAGACGCTTAAGGACAGCTGGGACAGCTCTAAGAATTAGGTATCCAGGGATTCAGAAGAAACTAGACAGCAGATGGGGAACAGTATCAAATAAACTCTACTCTGTTCCTTTTGGCCAAGTCCAAACACAAAGTACCTGAGAAATTTGAGCCTACAAAGATGGCATTATCTGATGGCCAGAGTGGTCGGGGATGTTGGTAAAAAGGCTCTTGTGTTTGGCAAGCCTGAGAAGTTGCAAGCTAAATTGGGAAGGGGGTCTTAAATACTACCTCTCCTCACAACAGCACTGCAAACAGCCCCTGCAGGGGAGCCTCTTTTCCCCAATGTCAAGAAAAAGTCACCGCAAACCCTCCCTTAACACGCTTGTCCCGCAAGCACACGGCAGAGGGCAGTGTAAGCCAGGCCAAGGGAAATACAAGGTGCCGGAGAGTACTGCTGCCTTCAGGCTGAGGCCTCACAGGGCCTCCGACAAAGAGGGCGCTGGGAAAATGGGGGTAGAGTGGATTACTGACACACAATCACCTTCGAAGACCTTCAGGGGTAGGCAAGGGGGCTCGGCAGGGACGAGGGAGAGGGAGCATTGATTATCTCAGAGCCCACTAACACTACCAGTGCCCAAATCCTCAAAGGGCCTCAACATCCGCTCAGGTTAGGAAACAGCTCCCAAGCACCTGCTATATGCCAGGCCTTGTGCTAGGGGCAGGGATTGCAAGGTGAGTAAAGCCCAGACCCTTCCCCAGGGGAGAGTCTCTGACATGCCAATCTCTGTACATAATGTTCTCATTTAATCCTTACCATAGTAAAGTTCTGTAAGAGCCATCCCCATTTTACAGATGAGGAAAGACAGACTCCAGGGGGTGAAGTACTAGTCCAATCAATAAGTGACAAAGTTGGAGTGTAAACCCAGTCTCTCTAGATTCAGAGCTGAGAGTCTCACCACTCTGTGAGAACCTTCTTAGTATGTGTTCTCAGCAGGGAGAGGGTCCATTTGCCATCTCCATACCGGCCAGGCTAATCCCATCCTAGGCTGCCAGACTGCCCAGGAGAGGCCTGGGGTGATGTTTGCCCCCATAAGCACAAAAATCCCCTTGGCCTGGATATCAGAGTAACATAAACAAATAAGATTTTAAATGTATTTAAATAACATACACAATATATAAAACAGACACACAGAGTAAGGATTCCAGCAAATGGAGTGCGAGGCCTGTTCTTTATAGATTCAGAGAGAAGGCTGAATTTGGTGGGGTTGTTGTGGAATTCCTTGAATACCAGGTTTGACCCAATAGGAAATGGTCCCTGCAGATCCCCCAGTGGACGAAGTAGGCGAAAGTGATGTGTGCTACGTATTGTCATATCCTCCCTTTGCCCCTCCAGGTCCACTCCCCACTGTCCCCACCCTACTCTGTGCCCAGAGGCTGTCCTGTACGGAATGCGTTCCCCTGCAGCCTTGGGAGGCAATGGAGAGAAGGAAGAAGGGGGAGGGAGGGGCGGGGAGAGGGAGCTGTGCACCTCTGGGCAAGCTACTCAGCTTCTGTGAGACTCAGTTTCCTCATCTCTAAAGGGGGATAATGGTAGTACCCAGTCTGAAAGGTAATTCAGAGGATTAATGAATAAACACACATAAAGCACTTAGAATGACATGCACGTGGTAAGAAGCTAGCAAGTGTGCACTTTTGTTAAGAGCATTTCCTGCTACGACTGATTTCTATAATGAAGTACAAACTCAAATTTGATGCGAGAGGAACTGAACAGCATTTGGCCTGTTCTCTTGGGGAAGGAGAGAGGAGAGAAAACAGTAGAAGCAATTTTCAATGTGGCAAGTTGTTGAAGAGTCAGAGGCCTTTGGGGAGGCAGTAAGGTCATCCCCCTTACCCTGCGCACCACATACTCTATGAAGAGGGCTGCTAAACCCCCTTGTGCCCCCAACTCAGGTATTGAACCAGGACCAAGGACAAAGAGCCTCCAGAAGGACTGGCTATTGGAAGCAAATGTCTTCTCGGGCAGATGGGCTCTTCTATACAAACTCTAAGAAAAAATGTAAAAATGGCTGGGCAGGGAGCCCAGTGATCTGGGAAATTCTCCCCCTGGAAAAGGAGAGCACAAGACAGAACTAGAGCAATCATATACAGTAGATTAGGAAACTAAATGCAAGTTAGTGTTTAGAGAACAGTCTAGCTAAAAATACCCCAGCTGAAGTTGTGATAAAGGTCATCTGATCCTTTTTATGTACCAGAGGTGCAACAGAGGGGTTACCCAGCTCGTGGCAGAAGAGCCAACTAGAAAATAATGCTGCCCACAGCCCAAGCTGGTGGTAAGGTAGGGCATCCTACTGAGTTCTGCCATCTGCTTCTTCAGGTCCACCTCCAACTTGCTCTCCCCTACAAGCTTCAGAATAAACAGACTTCCCTGAGAAAAACAGAAGAGGAACAACAAAAGCCAGTGACTTTGGACTGATGTGGACTGAAGAAGAAAATAATAAATGGTGGGAGAACTGCTTTCTCCTCAGAGCATGCCACTGAGAGTTCAGGACTTGGTCAGGTGTTACAACCCATTGGGTGGGACTCCTGTCTTCATGAAATATCTAGGCTCAGAAAAACAAGATGTGTCAGTTCCTTACTGAACATTGGATATCAGTTCTTGTTACAAAATGGCAGCATGGTCACTGGTGTTAATCTAGGGAGGGCCTCACTCTGCGCCAGGCATTGTGGCAGGTGCTCACTGTCTCTCACACCTCAGGACAAGCCTATGGGGTAGGTACTGACTATTTCCATTCTCCAGATCTCCATCTGAAGAGATTAAATAAGTTTCCCAAGGTCACAAGACCTTACAGACCCAGCTCACACCCGGCGTATGTGCTTCAGAGGGCCCATCCCAGGTCATGAGTTTGAGCCCCATATTGGGTGTAGAGATTACTTAAAAGAAAATCTTAAAAAAAAAAAATTTTCGGCAACTGGGTGATGGACATTAAGGAGGGCACGGGA